CAGTGAAGAAGTGAATTCAAGCATAATGAGAAAAGGTTTTGTTATGTATGCAGAATTGTGGCAAATTTCCAGGGGATGGTAAAGCTTAGCATTGTCAATGACGTCACTGCGAAGAGCTATGTGACTGTCCAAATAGCCCAAGGGGAATCGACAGAGGTCTGTATAACCTCCATATGAGTGAATATCTGTTGCTGTGAGTATGTTTCCTGTTTTCTCTTTCAGGTCTTATCCATTCCCTCTGAAAGCCAGAATTAAGCTTGCCTTAACCGTATTCGTGACATGTATTCCAGATCCTAGCAACTTGCTGTGTTTAAGAAAAGAAGCTTCCTCATCACCATTGATTCTTTTCATAATTCCTTAAAATTAGTGTCCCTTGATTAGGGTAGAAAAGTAAGTTGTGAAGAGAATATGGCTACAGAGGACTACGCATAGCTTAGTTGAGTGCAAAGAGATCTGGCAAATGGAGTATAATGTGGGAAAGTAATGAAATTGTCTACTTTGACAGGAAGAATAAAAAAAATCATTTTAGCTCAATAGTAAGACAATGCAGAGCACAGATGCAAGGGACCCAGGCATCCTAGTACGTAAATCACAAAAGGCTAGGATACAAGTAATTAATAAAACAAACAGAATTTTATTATTTATTACAATGAGAATTGAATACAGAAGTAGTGTGGTTATCCTTCAGTTATACAGTGCTCTGGTGAGATCCCAGGCAATGTTCCCACTCAGCTGCATGGTGACACACATCGGCATGCTGATTGCAGTATTGACTTACAGTTCTGAATATTGCTGCTGCGCACAGGACTTAGGGACCCATACATCCACCAAGAAAATTAGAGGGAACACTGACCGCAGGTCAAGAAATCTGTATTTTATTACAGTCCTTATTTAAGAAAAGATGTAAATGTGATGGAAGCAGTTTAGAGAAGGTTTACTAGACTACTACCTGGAATGGTGTGGATTGTTTTATGAGGAAAGGTTGGATAGGCTAGATTTGTAACTGCAGGAGTTTAGAAGAGTAAGAGATGAAATATGTAAGATGCAAAAGAGGGTTGACAGGATGGATGTGGAAAATATGTTTTAGTTTGTGGGAAAATCTAAAACTAGGAGTCACTGCTTAAAAATGGGAGATCATCCATTTAATTCACAAATAAAATTTCTTTCTCTGAGGGTTGAGAATCTTTGGATTCCTCAAATGTGTTGGAAACTGAGACATTGAATATTTTTAATGCAGAGGTTGATAGATTTTTAGTAAGCAGAAGGGTAAAAGGTTATGAGGGGTAGGTAGAAAAGTGTAGTTTGCAATTACATTCAGAATCAGATCAGCAGTTACCTTATTAAGCGATGAAGCTGGATTATGGAGCCAAAAGGCCTAACTGTGCTCCTAACTTGTATGTTCATAAGGATCTTTGTCATGCTATTAAAAAGCTCTGCTACAATCAAAATATACTACATTTCAAAAAATATGCATTGACAATGTCTGAAATTTTCTCAAAGAACAGCAGCAAAGTTATTAGGCTATACAAGTTATTATTATTCTCTCTTTTTCAGATTCATGCTCACTCTTTTTATTTACAGCAATGTTCATTTTCCCTCTTTCAGATTCCTTCTAATTCTTTACCCATAACAGATGTTGGACTCTGCCCCATTTTGTCCTGGGCTGTCACTGTGCTTTTTAAAGATTAAAGATAAACACCATCTCCTGATTATTGTGCTCGCTGCTTTCCAGTCCTTAAGTGTTTTCATTTTTAATAAATTCTTAGACATAGTGTCAAGAAGATTACTGATTTGTATTGGATGAAGTTCCTTGTAAGAAGTTCATTGGCCTCTCCTACCTGTGCCTTTTTTCTTTCCGTAAGTTATTGATGATCAGATTATCTGAAATTTCTTTTAATTCATTTCTGTGTTCTCCTCCCCAAACCAACTATTACCTTGTATGTTTAGAGACTGTTGTGGTCTATTCAATTAAAAATAGATAAGAGTAATTTATCTTGCACATTTGCTATCATTGTTTGTGCTGTTTGTTATCCCAACCTCATTTTAAATTTGTTTCTCCTAATGAGTCTGGTAACCTCTTTGCCTAGTTTTTATAACTTTCGCAATCAAACTGTGCTGTCCATAGAATTATACATAAGGAACAATCTTTTTTTCTCTTATTGCCCCAATATTGCTATCCATTTTTCCAGTAGCCAAATGCTCACTGTGTATTCTGTATATTTCCAAATACAAATCAATTTTAACCTTTCTTTTCTCTGCAACGGTGTTGATTAGTTTCCTGAGCTGCACCCAAATGCAGCCCTTGTAAAGCTGAATGTTTAAATGGTACCTATTGTCTTTTCCACCGTAAACCTCAAGTTAAAGTCCTCATGATAACTTCTACCAAGATGTTATCTTGCTGTGATCTGCTTTACCATCTCCTGATTGTTATAACAATTGCACTAAAACAGAATCTTGTAACGTAGGTGAACATTTCATGGTTTTTCATTGGAGCATAATCAGCTAAAACTGGACACAGAGCCACAGGAGGGAATCTAAAAGGGGAGATGGTGGCATAGTCATCATGTCATTGTACTAGTAATCTGCTGGAAACTGGGTTCCAGTTCCACCATGGTAAAATTTGAATTCAAATAATAAAAATCTAGAATTATAATTAGTGTAGTCGTGACCACAAAAACATGATAGTTGTTGTTAAAACCCACCAGGTTCACTAACATCCTTTCAAGAAGGAGATCTGTTCTTACCTGTTCTTGCCTCCGTGTGATTCCAGACCCATAATTTTATATAGCCACTACAAAGTCTAAGAAAAGGACCATTTGTCATTGACCTATTTATAATATTCATATCATATCTGGAGTGTAGATTTCAAAATTGTCGCAAATTGTGGGTATAGATTAGGGTTGCTGAAGGTTTTAAAAGAACCTAGGTCCAACAGTCCTTCCAGAACAGAGACCTAATTCAGTATGTCAGAAAGCAGGGTGCCCCTGGAGTGTAACAGAAAATTGCTTTTACTGTGATGGTTTGCGATACATGGGGTAAACATTGAAAACAATTAGCTTGTTTTCGTTCAGGATAATTGAGGATTGATTTTAGTTAATGAAACACAGACATTGCAAGTTTTTAAGGCTATTCAGAGCAGACCTAGCTGGCAACAAGAAAAATATAGTTCCCTTCCTAGAAAAGAGGGTGGGAGTGTTCAAGGCAAGTACAATTATCTCAGTGTAAACAGTTAGTTTGTGAAACTTGTGAGGATTGTTTGGTAAGAAATCTGCAATTTGTCAAAGTTCGAGAAAGTCAAAGCTCTCAGCTTTATTTGTATTAATGTAAAAAGAGTGCACAGTTCACAAGAACTGAGCAGAAACAGTTGAGTCGACTCTCCACAGCCTGCCCACTATCTATGTGGCCCAAGTGAGGAGTGAAGGAGCTTGAGACCACCCAGGAAAATATAGCCTGCTTGATTATAACCACAGCCACAAGGATTCACCCTCTCCACTACCAAAGTTCAATAGCAATAGTGTACAAAATGTACAAGATGCACTACAGAAGTTCACTATTGCCCCTCAGACAGCACCTTCCAAACCCACGACCGCTACTGTCTGGAAGGACAGCAGATGGAGATGGGTGGTGTTCCAATGTAAGTTCCCATCCAAGTCTTACACATTCCTGACTTGGAAATATATCGCTGTTCCTTCAGTGTTGCTGGGACAAAATCCTGGAACTCCACCTTAATGATGTTGTGGATCTATCTGTCCTAAATGAACTGCAGCAGTTTGGAAGGCAGCTCACTAGCATTTTTTTAACGGCAAGGAGTGATGGGCAATAAATACTGGCCTAGCCAGCAACACCCACATTCCATGACTAATAAAATAAATTCAATATTTTTCTCTTTAAATTTTACTATCTTTTTAGTTTTTTTTTAAGATGGTGGATCCTTGTGTTGAAAGTTTTTCTTTCTCATTGAAATATATATATTTTTCAATGTCAGAATTATTCCCTAAATTTCTGCCACTGTGTTGCTGTTGATCTATCCCTGAATCTAATTTTTAAGTTGACTTTATTTCTGCTTTCACATCCTCACAATTGCCCTTAATGAAAATTAAAGATAGATCCACTCTTCCCTCCCTCCATCTGAATGTAAAATTCAATCATATTATAGTCACTACTACTTCGGAGTATCTTCACTTTGAGATCTTTAATTAATCCTACCTTGCTGAATAATACCAGGTCCAGTATCGCCTGATTAAAAGCAAAATACTGCCGATGCTGGAAATCTGAAACAAATATAGAAATTGCTGGAGAAACTAGGCAGATCTGAGGAAGAGTCATACCGATTTGCAACATTAGCTCTGTTTCTCTCTCCACAAAAGTTGCCAGATCGGCCTAGTTTCTCCAGCATTCTGTTTGTTTTAATATAACCTAATTTCTCCTTGATTCTAGAACATGGTGTTCTAAGAAATAATCCCAAAAGCATTCTATGAACTCCTCATTTAGGCTACCTTTGCACACTTACAGAGCAGACTCAAAGGGCTGAGTTGCCTACTCCTGCTCCTAGTTCTAGTTTGATTCTTCCAGTTTATAAATAGATTAAAACTCCCCATGATTGTCAGCATACCTTTCTGACACGCTCTCAATTTTTCTTCCCTTATACTCGATCCTACCGTGTCGTTACTATTACGGAGCTTGTACAGCGCTTTTGCAAGTGATTTCTTTACAGTTATCATTTTCTTATCTCTACCCAACCACTTCTATGTACTGGCTTCTTGATCTTAAATCAGAATCTCTCTGACTGTGCATGATCCCTAGTTCTGCACTAAACCTCTATCCTGCTTCAATTCCCTAATTTTGGAATTGTATAAGGCATTTTCTTTAAATATATGTCACGACATTTATGATCTTTTAATTTTGTTACACAACTTTACAAATCATAAATGTTATTCATGACTTACTTTGCGCATGCACCTTAAAACATTCTTAAAATGTTAATAATCAGTGTACAGTACCTTTATGCAATCAAACTAGTATTTAATGGCGTTTGTTCAAGATCTCAGCTGGAATTGTGGCTCCCCGGATATAAAGTGAGGAATCTATGCATTGTAGCTTCCATGGTGTGCTTGAAGTCTCTAAGAGCAAGCTGCATTCTAAGACCACAATGGCTTTCCTTTAATAGTTCTCCATGTTGTAAACATTAGTGGGGAAGCAACTTCCGACTGTATTAAGTGTTGTGAGTTCTCAGACTTCGTAAACTGGCAAACCTCCAAAGAAGATGTGATCAGACTGCTTGGATGTTTAAATGACGTCAAGAACAAGAAAATTTCTTCATGTTGTTTCCTGTTCTGGGAATCTGGTTCTGCCTGTTTGGAGCCTTTCAGAGGAGTACGTTCGTTGTCAGCTGTCCAATAGCTGAAAGCCTATCGAGAGAATTCCAAAACTCTCAGCAGTATGAAGTATTAAGTAACATAGTTCAGAAGGAAGAAGCACCTAGACCAATAACTTATCACTGGTTTCTATATTTTTAATATATTTAGACGAGAAGAATATTGTGCTGTATTTTGTATTTAAAGCTAAAGTATTAAATATTAAGTCGGGAAGGCATGGTCTGGCAAGCAAGACCTTTCCCACAGGAACAATAGTTTCACTGATATAATTTACATATGGATGTTTGTCTAGGCATCACAATCATTTGCGTTGCAGTTGTAATTTACAGCGCTAAAAAGAATTTACCAAATAGTCGCTTTCCAAAATCAATTTGGTGCTTATAAATCTGGCTACCAAATAGCACAAATTATGTGTTTATTTTGCATTGAAATTCTATTCAAATAGTTGTTTTGCGGTGTTGTGCGTGTAGCCTCTGTTTTCCATGAATTATGGTCAGTTATGTAAAAACATAGAGATTGTGGTAACTGTTTAAATGCCTAATGACAAGAAGGACAGTTGTTACTTTATGACTAAAATGAACATACGTTATTGTTTCATATTACCCCTTTAATTATATTTGCTAACTTTAAAAATTGAATGCTAAAACTGTAACTAGTAAAGTTGACTGTAAGACTGAACATTGTAATGCAAGAGAAATAATTGCATTACATAGTTAACCTCAAGTTGCTAAAGGACCTTGGTTTGGTTGTATCAGTGCAGGTGGTCATTAATTTTCTTCAACAAATATTCTTTTTAACAAAATATGAAAAATAAGTAGTACAAAGAAAATTAATTAATATTTGATTTTGTAATAGCAGGTTGAAATTCTGACACACACTAGAAAGTCTTACAATAGACTTTAAGCTAGGATATGCAGTCATACATTTTTCAATGATCATTGTTATATGGAAAAGGAGTTTTTTTCTGCAATGCAGTTTTGGTCATACCATGACAATTAAGCTTTTAGTTCTAGTTTCAGTGAGTATCTATATCATTCTACTTGCTCTCCTTTTCCACATCTGCAGCCTTCTTTCTGCCAGAGAATTGTAAAGGATAGTCTGCATGAAGTAACTCTTTGGCTGCCCTCGAGAGGTAGTAGTGAACCACCTTCGCAATCCACAGCAGGTATTACTGTTGGTCTACTCACAGTGATGTTAGTGAGGAAGTTCCAGGATTTAGAGTCAGTGACATTGAAGGAATGGCATGCATTTCCAAATCAAGATGCCCAGTGGCTTGGAAGGAAATTTTGCAGGTGGTGGTTTTCATGTATCTGCAATCTTTGTCCTTCTTGATTGTAGTAGTTGTTGTCTGGAAGGTGCCGCCTTGGTGAATTTCACTTGTGCATTTTATAGACAGGGTATGCACTGCTGCTACTGGACATCAGTAGTGGAGAGAATCATTGTTTGTGGATGTATTTTCAAACAGGCGAGCTGCTTTGTCCTGGATAATGTCAAGCCTCTAGAGTGTTGTTGCATTCACTTTCATCCAGGCTAGAGAGATGTATTCTGTCACCCTCCTGACTTGAGTCTTGTGAGTGATGGACAGGCTTCGGGATGTCATGAGACAAGTTATTTTGTTGCAAGATTTCTAGCTTTTGTACCTGTTCTTATAGTTCACTTCAGCTTCTGGTCAACTTTCCCTGAACAGAAATGTTTTGACATTCGTTCATAGGTATGAACATTGCTGCCTAGGTGAACATTTATTGCCCATTCCCACCTGTCCTTATGAATGGAACGATAAGATGTCTTCTTGAACTGCTGCAATCTATATGCGTAGATGTACATACCAAGAACTGTCTGAGACGGCCTTTTGATCCAACTATATTGAAGGCACACAACATAATTCTGAGACACGATTGTGTGCAACTTGGAGAGAAACTTATGGGTGGTTGTGTGCTCATGCGTCTACTGCCCTTGTCCTTCTAGGTGCTAGATTGCAGGTTTGGAAGGTGCTGAAAAAGGAGACTTAGTGAATTGTTGGAGTATGGCTTGTAGATGGTGCACCGCCAAAATATGCTGCATTCGAGAGACAGAATGTTTAAGGGGTCAATCAAAGGAGCTGCTTTCTCTCGTCATTTTGAGCTTCTTAAGCAGAAAGAGCTGCACTCATCCAGATGGAGAGTATTCCATTATCTTCCTGACGTCTGCCTGACCTGATTAATTTGGCATTGGTTTTATTTGTATAGCGCAATATTATTTGGAGCATACATTTGCCATCAGTGTTTTTAGGATATTTTTTAATTATGCAGTAGCCATGCAAAATTTTCATTTAAGCAACTTAACAGCCTTCTGGACTCAATATTGGTTTCTATTTCAGATATTAACCACTCCCATGTGGCTTTGTTTTGAATAGCAGCTGCTGGTAAATAAATTTGCTGTTGCCATTTAGTAGCAGTGAAAGTAACAAATCACCTCTGCTGGAACAGACTGTGGAACAGCATGAAATACTTTATAGATATCAGAGGTGTGAACAACAGTGGAAAAAACAAATAACAAATAAAATTCACCACAATTTATTGAACTGCTGTGTGGTATATCAGGATAATTTATCCCTTGTTTCTTGTCCCAGTTTCATTCCCTTTTGCTTACACCATCGTCCTTATGTTACACTGTATCTCCTGTTATCCTTCATAACACAGGCCTTCCCTTTTGTTCTTTTCTCCCCACGTTCCTCTTTCACTTTTTTTTTGTACTTTCTTAAAACTTATTGCATGTCTAACATTTTCCATGTATGATGAATGGTCATTACAATGCTAATTCTTTTCCATTTCTCCAGTGCTGCTTGTCCTGATATTTTCAGTGATTCTGTAAATGTATAAGCAAATTACTTTTAATTATCTTGAACCTACATCTTCTTGTTCTTACTTTATAGTGACCATGTTTTTTTAATCTTCTTAACAAACTTGTACATCTGTATAAAATCATGTCTCAGATGTTTAATTTTCAAGATAAAATAGCCAAGTCTATCCAATCTTTTTGATAAACAGTACACCATCCATTAACCTTGTGTAACTTCATTGCACTGCCTCATGTTTCTTGGAAATTAGAACTGCACAATATTCAACAAACAGCTGACTAGAGAATTGTATACTCTTAACAATCTATCCGATCTCTGTATGATCATGCCAAACTTCAAATTTCAAGCTGCAACATCTATGTCTATAAAGTTTGATTGCCTCTTCTGATGTGCAGTTGTAGTGTTTAACGAGTTCAACATCAGTAACAACAAAATTATATTTATATATAGTGGCATCTTTTAGTATAACAGGTATTCTAAGCACATTCCCACCATTCAAGAGAAAATACATAAAGTAGTTAAGGAAGGACTAAAAGTCAAAAATTACGATCTTAATAGTTGATAAAGGTCAAGAGGAACCTGGAGAAAGAACTCAGAGTCTGATTCAGACAATTAAAGGTGAGGAGGAAGAAGTGCATAAATGGCCAGTCTCAAAAGTGTTGAAGGAGATCTGTATGTACAGGTGATTGCAAAGATCAGTTCTACGTTAGAATCGTTAACCAAAGTGACTTGATGATGCAGTGAATTGATTATACTTTCCCCTTTTGATATTTGTCCAAACTAATTGATGGTATGGAAGTGTTCTGCTTGTTTATAAGATTCATAATTCAATTGTTCTGATAATGACTTAGTTGGTTTCAGTTGACAGCATAAAATTGCATATTCTTATTTGTTTCGCACATGAAACATACAGGGTCAATTGAATTGGAAACTGAATTGGTGCCTTAATGAACTGAGAATACTTTTCAAGAGTTAGTTTCAGATTTCATTGAAAGTTTTGGTTCTTTACATTGTGCTGGGGAATTTCTAATGGTGCTATATATGGATCAAAACAGAATTAATTAAATAAATAATGGGTTCGTCACCTGTAGACAAATAGATTTGGTCCCATTACATAATGCAATTTTTATGCAATTTTACATCCCTACACCCATTTCTTTTTGATCAGTTCATGGAGGTTTGCTGTCTGTATAGTTGTACACTACTGTTGCATATTTTTCACAACTTAAATCACTTTTCTCCATTATTAATTCCAGTGCTGAAATTCACATTGGAAAAGCTCTATGTAAGCAAGTTCCTGTTACACTGGCACGATAACCTGGTGTCAAGAAGCACCTCCATAAACTCACTTGATGCTTTAAACAAGTTTATCACCACCATTTTTTCCACTAACAGAAATATCTGATTTAAAAATAAAGCAAATAGATAAAAATCATCTCATATCTCACAATAATTACATTTATCCATTGAATTGCCTTTTAATTATTTCATTAAAGTTTTACTAAAATTGTTCAAAATTGATGAACTGGAAGCTCTCAGCCTCCTAGTACCAAATATGCAATTAATATGGTTACTTTGTAAAATATCAGTTAAACTGAAATATAATCAATTGTTCATTTTAGATTGGCAAACAAACAAGATTGTGATGGAGCATTGGCAGAGGCTGATATCATAGAGTACCTTTCATTGGAAAAGCTGGTCAATGAAAATAAATGTTTATGTCAAATTGTAAGTACTTGAATTTCACCTTCATATAATCAGTGTCTTTGCTGTGATAAAAAGAGGCTCAGTTTGTTTCTTTTTTTTCCCATTCATAATTTCTGAATGAATCTTTCTATACCCTGTCAATGGCTTTATCTTTATCTAAAATAAGATGCTCCATACTTAATAGGATATCTTTACTATGGTTTAATACATGATTTCTATAGGCTTAACATTGCCTGTTTATATTTTATGCTCTTATTGATAAACTTGAGCCCCAGCTGTAGCAAATTGGCATCTCATTTTCAGCAATTTTTGTGTTAAAGCCCTTTAAGTATCACTGCTGCTTTAGTTAGTCTTATTAGTTACCATCATGTCCACTCCTCAAACTTAATACCAAAATACATTGTCTCAATACTTTTTCACATTAAACTTCATGAGATTCTTTGAATAAAGCTTTTATTTTAATATCCTATGACCACATTTTAAATTCTGAGCATTTCAGTGCATGAACTTGCAGAACGCTTTCAGAAATAACCAATTTCTACAACTGATACTATCTAATAATTTTGAATTTATCGATTTGATTGTTAATTAAGCAATCTTGTAAAATGAGCATTTAACCATTCTTATCATTAATTTCCTTTCTCATGTAATGACAAACTGTTCACCAATGTATCATGTAATTTTGCTTTGATTCGGCCATGAAATTATCAGTTACATCCTATCAAACCAATATTATGCCTTATAGTCATGAGATTTCCCGTACCACTTCAATATTTGCATCCCTTTTTCTCATCCTGTCTGGTGCTTCTGAGCCCATAATTCTCTGTGCTCCAGTCTTTCAGGATCCTATAACCCTGCCCCGAAATGCAGACTAATAGACCCAAGGTTAATTTTCTACCAGATCACAGTCCTCGTCTCTAGTTCTTTGGCATTCAGCCATAACCTGATTCCATTGTTGTGAAGCTAAGACCTATCCACCAAGCAGGGAAAACTGCAGTCTTCTTCCATACCCAACTACCCCTTCTCAATCATTCCTTCCATCAGGAACGTTTAGCCAAGTGCTAAGTCACTCTGGAATACTGCTCGCTGTTCCAGATATTAGCATCTTTTCCATTGCTACCTTATTCTGGGATTCTCTATTCTTTCTATGGCTAGACCCTGGCATTGCCCCAGAAGATCCCTATTCCAGTGATACCAATGCTCAGGATCACACCCCACATCTGGAGGAGTTACAGCAGCTAAAGTTACCAGATCTCCCATAATTACTATCACCTCTAAAATTATCTCCTGATTCAACCTGCTGCTGCTATTAAGCTCCTGCTTATCAAGAATTTTGTAAAATGTCAACTAAAAATTGAATCATAGAATCAAAGAAACTTGAAGCGTGGAAGATGGACATTCAACTGATTGTGCCTATGCGCTTTTTTTTAAGAAAAGTGAAATAACCCATATTAAAGGCAACTCATATCTTATTTTTATGGCAATGTTAACAGAGGTATGCAATTTCATCCACAAAATATCATGGGGACACAGACAAGTTCTACAATTCCATTATTGCTTGTGCTAATTTCAACCAAATAAACAAACCAGGAATTGACCCATGATGCATCTTTTCTATAGAGCTTGGAAACCATTCCCAGTTAAACATAGTGTTCAATTTATACCAATAGGAGCCTTGTTCTGCAACTTTGGGGTATGGAAAAAAATTGGACAAAGCCATTAGGAAAGGCCTTGGTTGGCTTTTGAACACCATAGCAAAAGATTATGATATTCTACAAGAAAGGGTACAAAAAGACACAATGGAACAGAAGGCACAAGAAGAGAAAGACAAACAAGATCGGGCAGAAAGAGTCCGTAGAATACGAGAGGAAAGGTAAAAGAACATTTAACAATTAATTGTTCAATTCATTTAAAAAATACTTGATTTTCAATATTATGACTGACCCTGATCTTCTTTTTCAGGCCAGTGCAACTGCAGAGTCGCACTCGCAGCCCATACAGCTGCATTATCTGTGATATCATTGACAGTAGCACTGCAGCTAACTGTTTGTATCAAGGAATAGGAACAATTAAGAGGAGTTATTTTCAAAGTCATTCCATCAATATATTAAAATCCTGAGATTACTATATTTACACTGCCCCACATTCAACACTAGTGTATCCTACTCCCAACCCTGAATACCTTACTCCCTATCAGTAGGCTATGCTATCACTATTTATCATTTGCCAAGTGGTGATTAGAGCAGCAGGTAAAGTTTGAACATAGAACTGTACAGACAGGAACAGGCCTTCAGCCTACACTGTTGTGCCAAACATGACGCCAAATTAAACTAATCTCTTCTGCCTGCCTTTGGTCCATATCCCTCCATTCCTTGTATACTCATGTGCTTATCTAAACATCCATGAAACACTCCTTTTGTATCTGCCTCCTCTACCATCCCTGGTAGCGTGTTCCAAACTCCTACCACTCTCTGTGTTTAAAAAAAACTTGCCCCTCACATCTCTTTTGAACTTTCCCCCTGGTTTCAGACATTTCAACTCTGGAAAAAGATTCTGACCGTCAGTCCTATCTATGCGTCTTATAATCTTATAGACTTCAATCAAATCTTCTCTCTGCCTGTGCCACTCCAGAGAAAACAACCAAAGTTTTTCTAGCCTCTCCTTATAGCTCATACCCTCTAATCCAGGTAGCATCCTGGTAAACGTCTTCTGCAACCTCTCTAAAGCCTCCACATCCTTCCTGAATTGTGGTGACCAGAATTGAATGCAATACTCTAAGTGTGGCCTAACTAAAGTCTTATAAAGCTGCAACATGACATCCTGACTCTTGAGTACTCAATTCCCCGACCATTAAAGGCAAGCGTGCCATATGCCTTCTTTACTACCCTATCTACTTAAGTGGCCACTTTCAGGGAGCTATGGACTTGAACCCCAAGATCCTCCTGTACATCAATGCTGCTCAGGGTCCTGCCATTAACAGTATACTTTTCCTTAACATTTGACTTCCAAAAGTGCAGCACCTCACGCTTACCTGGATTAAACTCCATCTGCCATTTCTCCACCTATATCTGCAACTGATCTGTATCCCACTGTATCCTTGGACAACCTTCTGCACTATCCACAACTCCACAAATCTTTGTGTCGTCTGCAAACTTACTAACCCACCCATCTACATTTTCATCCAGGGATAACAAGGTGTAGAGCTGGATGAACACAGCAGGCCAAGCAGCATCAGTGGAGCAGGAAGGCTGACGTTTCGGACCTAGACCCTTCTTCAGAAATGGGGGAGGGGAAGGGGCTTCTGAAATAAATAGGGAAAGAGGGGGTTTTCATCCAAGTCATTTATATATATCATAAACAGCAGAGGTCCCAGTATAGATCTTGAAAAATACCACTAGTCACAGACCTCCAGCCAGAAAAACATCTTTCCACCACGTCCTTCTGCCTCCTGTGGGCAAACCAATTCTGAACTTGTGTGGCCAAGTCACTGCGGATCCCATGCATCCTAATCTTCTGGATGAGCCTACTGTGAGGGAACTTGTCGAAAGCCTTACTAAAATCCATGTAAATAACATCCACTGCTCTACCCTCATCGATCGCTTTTCTCACCTCAAAAAATTCAATCAAGTTAGTAAGACATGACCTGCCCAGCACAAAGCCATGCTGACTGTCCCTAATTAGGCCATGTTTTTCCAAATGAGATTGCTGAGTGGGAAGCCAACCGGATCATTGAGAGGGGCAGCACATAGTCTGCTGAATGGACATGAGAATGCCGAGTGGAAGGGCAACAGGAGCAGCAAATGGAGCAGGGTTTGGACCTGGGCAGCAACTGGACTGCCAAATGCAAGTGTGGCTTGAACTTTGCAAAGGTGTTGACCATCAGTGACATCACACAAGTGGCTGGAGTGGAAGCCGCCTTCTGATTCCATGAATAATCAATTATGTCAATGACACTGACTTCTTATCCCAGTGGGGTGGTAGGAGACTTTACTTCAGTCCTTCAGAAGGATTTAAATTAATTCATATTGCAGACAGTTTTCCATACTTTTTATTATGACATGATATACCTTAATAATAGGAAGAGAGTAAAATAAAACAAGGCATTGCAGATGCTAGAAATCTGAAACACAAAGAGAAATTGCTGGAGGAACACAGCAGATAACATTTGTGGTGAGAAAGAGTTAACATTTGCGTTCCAGTGACCTGGTTCTGCAGAAGGGTCACGAACATGCCAACTCTACTTTCTCTCCTGCTGAGTTACTTCAGTAATTTCTGTAATAGCAAAAGAAGATTCTGACTCAAAAAGCATACTCTTAAAAATAATGATAACATAATCTTTGAATGATTAGAATAACTTTAAAAGCCATTAAGATTTATGTGAAAGATGCTATAGTATTCTTCTTGTTTGTGTAGTAGATTATATGTTGTTTATAAATGCATTCCAACTCAGTGGTAACAAGTTCCTGTCAGGGGATTGTGAATTCAAGTACCACTCCCGAGATATGGACATATTACCTTGGCTCGCACTCAAGTACTGTATTGATGTATTTAAATATCTTTGCATGAGCCTTTAATTTACTGTATTAGTCTTGGCATTGAACTACTTATCAAGAGCTTATCTGCATCCATTAGGATAAGTCTCATCTGCTCTCCAGATTAACATTTTTGCACTGTTAAGTGGAAAAGAAAGCATGTAGGGCTCCCTGTTCCAATTCCTACTGGACATGATTCCTTATCATAATACTTACATGCTCAGAATACTTACTGTCGTAAAAGGCTGAAATACTGGATTAGTAAAACAGACGATTAAGAAGCCAAAGAACGTGAATTTTATGGTGGAATGTTTTTCAAAAAAGTGATCATGACTTTTTTTTTAATTGAGGCCGTCACCGGCAGCATTTATTGCCCATCCCTAATTGCTCATAGGGCAGTTAAGAATCACCATATTGCTGTGGATCTAGAGTCAAATGTAGACCAGACTAGGTAAGAACGGCAGTTTCCTTCTGTAAAGGACATTAGTGAACCAGATGGTTCTTTCCAGACAATCAACATTGGATTCATGGACATCATTAAACTGTAAATTCCAGACTTTTCAGATTCCACCATCTGCTGGGGCAGGATTCGATCCGGATCCCCAGAACATTACCTAGGTCGCTGGACTAACAGTCGAGTGATAATACCACTAGAATATTGCCTCCCCTTAGAATGTCATAAGCACCCAATTAGTTCTTTGTTGTTCTTTTGGCAAGGAAACCTGCAGTCCTTAAGTCTGATGTGTCAATCCAATCCCACACCAATCATCATTAACCTCTGACCATCCTTTAAAGTGCAAACCACTCATATATTAAAACTATACAGGGCAACTAAAATGGGCAATAAATCTCCAGCATTGTTAATAATGTGCACTTCGAAGAATTAATTTTCAGAAGTTCATATGATAGGTGAGACTGAGCAAAGACTAATGACAATTCACAAGGAAATACTACATTTTCAAAAAGCATTTATGTCTTTGTAGAGAACACAAAGAAAAGGAAGAGGGGCACCCTCTAAACCAGGATGAGGATGATGAACCTGACCCAAAAGTAAACCCTTTTCAACCTATATCTAAGGTCATTTCTGTGGTAGGTAATAAAACACATTGCCAGAAGTACTTTTTTTTGTTTAAATGTTGAATTTTAAGATTGAAATCAGTTTCTTGACTGGGATTACAATTTAATCACATTGCATTTTAATCACTTTAAACAATGTTTCTATCTGTGTGTACACATGTTGCTACTAAAGTAAGGTGAGACTGATTACAGTTGACACCAAGACTATATTTGACTAAATGTGGCAGCAAGGAGCCCTTGCAAAACCAAAGTTGGTGGGAATCGGGGAGGAAAGTTTTCACTGATGGAAATCATACCTAACACAAAGGAAGGTAGTTGTGGTTATTGGAGACCAATCATCTCAGCTCCAGGACATCACTGCAGAAGTTCATCAAATTAGTATCATAGGCATGATTGTCATCTGCTATTTCATCAATAACTTTCCCTCCTATATTACACCTCAGAACTAGAAATGTTCACTGTTAATTGCATGGAATTCAATAAAGTTTACAATGCTACAGATATCACTGTGTTCTGTGCCTGTAAGCAGCAAAATTTAGACAATATTAAGAAGGTATGGGCTGATATGAGGTAAGTAACATTCATTTCACACAAATGCCAGACAATGATCCTGTTCAACAAAAGAGAAAAAAACCATCACTTTGACCCTTGATAGACAATGTCGTTATTATCACTGAATCCCTTACCCTCAATACCTTGGGGGTCACCATTGACCAAGAGCTTAGGTGGGCCAGCCATATAAATGCTGAGACTACAAAAGCAAATCAGAAGCTGGGATTTCTGTGGTGAGAATATCACTGTCTCACTCATCGAAACATGTCCATATGACCAAATTCGGCCCATAAGGTACAAGTTATGAGTGTGTTTGAATACTCATGACTTATCTAGATAATCACAGGTTTAATAACATTCATTAATCATAGATTCATCTAAAACAAAGCAGCCTACTTGATTAGTACCCCGTCCAACACAAGCATTAACATCTTCCACCAGCAGAGCACATTGGCAACATTGTGTGCCATCTAAAGGTGCACCACAGCAACTTACTAAAGCTCATTCAACAACACTTTGCAAAGCTGTAATCTCTACCAGCTAAAAGGCCAAGTGTTGCAGATATGAGAACAGCACCAACTGGCTCTCCAAGCCACACATCTTCCTTATTTGGAAGATATGTCATTGTTACTTCATTGTTGCTGTTTCAAAAACCCAGAACTCCCTTCTTAACAGCAATGTATGTGCAGAGATGGCAGCTCACCACTATCTTCTAAAAGACAGTTAGGGCTGGTAATAAATGTTGACCTTACTATTGACCTACATCCTGTGAGTGAATAAAGATAGACATGCATAAAATTTGTAGATTTTTAGAAATCCTACAATAGTTCTTAATTGCAGCTTTCCGTGTAGGCCATAGATGAAAATTCAATCACAGAAACAGTGATCACCTTTGTTCTTAGTGAAAGCTATATTGATGCACAGTTCATGGCTCAAAGAATGCTGAATGGGATTAGGTAGCTAGCTGAAAGTTTTTTTGAAGGAAAAACCTTGTTTAAAAATGTACAGGTTAGAGTTGTAGCTACATGTCTTAGTATGACTTAGTTATTACAACAATACTCCAAAAAAGTACACTTATATAAAATTGAAATGGAGTAGAACATTTTAGATAAAGAACAATAAATTACTAGATTTTAATAGAAAGGTTGCTGATTGGTTACGATGTTAATGCTATATGTTGTCATCAGGATTAATATTGATTGATAGATCCAAAATGTCTGTTGTTTCTTTCTACATGAATACAAAGCACTTTCATAGACTAGCACTTGAAACTAAGAAATTTTGTAACAGAATATTATACGTGGAACAAATCAATTGAGCTATAGCGAGTAAACTAGCTCTTAAATTAATCAAGACAACATCCATCTTTTTTAAAATTCCAATGTTATAATGTATAGTTTTCAATTTGACATTGATTCTCCTTTTCAGTCTGAGTATCTAAAATGAAGAGCCCATGAATATCTAGTTTGTGCATATGCATTACGGAATTCCATAAAGAGTTAGGAGCTTTGGGAAAGATGTGTGTAAAATATTTATGAACTGTCTGACATTTATATATTGAGGTAGATTTCAGAATTATTTCATTTAAAGCAGAATTGAACATAGGGATTTCTGTCTTTAGAAGTGCACTGCAGGCTGTAGGCACATGTAATTAACTGGCATTCTGAGCTTAGTGTAATGGAAAATAACCAGGTGATATGTTTAATGAAAAATTCAAGTTGAAAATAAAGTGCAATTCTACTCAACAGATTAGGTCAACAAAATTGGTAGGAATGTGTGACTTGGTTTAATATAGCACCTTTTCTGATGAAGGGTCTAGGCCCGAAACGTCAGCCTTTCTGCCCTATGATGCTGCATGGCCTGCTGTGTTCATCCAGCCCTGCACCTTGTTGTCTCGGATTCTCCAGCATCTGCAGTTCCTACTATCTCTTAATATAGCACCTCCTTGGTAATTATATTCAACAGGTTACACAACATTTATGGGCATATGTAAATAGGCTTAATTTTGTGTCATTTTAATAATTCTGTTCAACTGGTTAGGCAACGTTTTCAGGCACAATACAAATAAGGCCACTTTAGTCTCACAAGAAGAGACAACAAAAAGTTGCTAAATAAAATGTTTAATGTCAGTACTTAATTAGAGGGTGATGGTGTAAAATTAAAGGGATGGCATCGGCTGTAGTATTTTGGAACAAATCTATAAACTCCTCAATTGGCACCTCGTGTGATGTCAACGGAGACAGAAGGAAGCTTGAAATATCTTGGACTGTGAATGGGAAAATAATAGCAGAAAATAATGTTTTTCTTTATTAGAATGAAGAAAAAATCAGAAAACTGAAAGAGAAAAACAAACCAAAACCTAGTGGAGAGATTCCAATAAGTTCTTCAGAAAAGTCAAAATCATCTAAGATGCAATCTGGCAACGGCAATCAAATGTTTGAGAGAGTGAAGCCAGTCGCCCGTGTATTAACTGAGCAACAAGAGGAAATTGAGTGCAACCAAAAAATGATAGACACTGGTAATTATACAGATGAAATTGCTTAAATAATATGAAGCAAGCAATAGCAATCAAGAATTCAGTTTAAATTAACTATGCATTCTGTTTTTACAGTCCATAAAATGATGTTTGTACATAATTGCATATTGAAAGTTATATATTTTAAACAGAGTCTGGGAAGAGAAAAGTTAAAAAGATTCCTATAAAGAGAAAGAATAGGGTGGAGCCATTCAGTACAGATGATGACTCTGAAAATTCAAGCCCACCACCGCCACCTGGTGAGTAGGATGCTTTTTTTCTGGCGTACATTAATAAGGGGAACCTGTTATGTTCAGAAACAAAAGTAGCAATGAATAATTATTCTTGAAATGGAGTCGTCATTAATAATGAAAAACTGAAATTTAGAAAAAAAGTTTAATTTAAAAAAAGAAATTAGTAACATTTGTCCACAAGTTATAATAATTTTGACAGTGCTTTTAGAATAGAGTTGGCAAATACAGTTTTACTGTTTGTTTCAAACCAGGAAGCGGTAATCCAAGTTAGAGCTGTATACAATTGATGATTTATTATGTTGGTCAGTAAAAGCAGAAAAATCCCAGGTTAGTTGAGAATAGTAAGGGTCATGAGCAGTTACTAACATTGCCATTATATATCTCTGACTGGGGAGACAAAAAAAAATCAGTCAAGATATTAACTTCTAACTTCTGTTTAATGATCTGTTCCCAAAAGTACACAACTAAAGTTGGCAACTGAATTTGATTTGTCCAAATTTGAATTCATAAAAAATCTGGAATAAAAAGCCAGTCTAATGGCGACTATATAACCACTATATCTTGTCATTAGAAAAGAAACATCTGGTTCACTAATGCCCTTTAAAGAAGGAATTTGATTTGCACTAAATGTGACATTTATTTAGAGTAAAGCATTAAAACCATACAGTTCCTAACTTTATCTACACCCCAGTTTCAGCGAGTGCCCTTCATATTTGCTCAAGTGGAAAGCCTATCTAGGGCTATCCACCTGCACATGGTAAAACACAATTGATGTACAATATACAATTAACTATGTATGGTGGACTGTCAAAATGAAAGTTCAAAAGTACTTTGCTACTGTGGATATCACATCTAAAGGTATTTATTCCAGAATTTCATCTTGACCAACTTTTTAAAATGCTTTTGCAACTTGCTGCTGTAAATATTTGAACAATAGAGGTAGATTGTTTAGACTCTCATGGACAGTAAACGCTTCCATTTAATATCAAGTTACTAATGGTAAGGAAATTTCTGTGCCCCTTGTTTATATCATTTCTTTGTACTATAAGTTTTGTTGCAATATTTAATCACTTTTTTTTTTACCCATGTTAGCTATATTACAACCTTGCAATAGTATCTGCAAACAATTTATTTTGCCTGGAAGTTTGTGTTTACAGATGTGAACAGAACTATGGAGTAGACACACTTTGAGAAGTAGCTGGAACTATCTTCCATGACCTCCATAATAAGACACACAAGACTTTAACTTAAATAGTTTAATTGGTCTGTAAAAATTCTGGTTGGAAACTTTAGGAAAAACTGTATCAATGTTGTAAAGTACCAGCAGAGTATGAAATATAAGTTCCATACAAATTAGAAACTCACCCAACTTAGATTATAGATACCTATTTCTAACTGTTACTACTTGATGCATCTTAGTAAGAACACAGAACAGAAATTAATTTTCCTTGTATGCTGAACCCTCTGGGTAAATTAATTATGTCTAATCTATTTCTGTTGCAATAAAAATGTGTAAGTCTTGGTCAACATCAGTGAGAAGCTTGTCAGTTGTAAAATCACCCTTAAAATACAATCTATGTATTTGATTTTGTAGCACACATTGTGTGGTAAATAAGAAACCATTTTCGTGCCACCTCAGAGGCTTTACAACTGAAGTTAATCTTCAGATTAATCTTCAAATTAATCTTCAAATTTACACAATATAGATGATTCAAATACCCAGTTAGGGAAAAAGCAACCTCTAGTTAAGAATCTAACCTTTCACTCCTCCAGTCCCTTTCCTGCCACCCCATCTCATAAATAAGTATCTAAATGGCAGTATCAGTCAGGTGAACACTGTCTGCTCATCAGAAAGCTTTTCTTTAATGTTATTGTGCATTTGTCTCAACCTGTACTGTTAAAATATTTAGTTGGTTGTGTCTGTTCTCCTTAATGGAAACTGTTTAGTGCCAGGGTCATCATAATAGTGATTATATCTATGTTGTTGATAGCTGTGTTGAACATACATTGCGAAGAGATTTCCAGTTCAAGTGTGGACCCCTCTGGGCCAAAGAAAATAGAGAAACCAAAGCACATTCAAATAGATATCGCTGTCAAGTCTGAGGTTTCTTAAAGTATGTTACAGCATCGCTATTAAACCCTATTTCATCCAAACCAAAAGTTGTATTTGAACTAATTCTCTAGTGACCCGCAGTGCAAGATACACTTCAATGAAAGTTTTAAGTCAGCCGTGCAAAAGTTCTCTATCATTTGTTGAATATTTTATCAATTAACAAGAACTTCCAAGTTTAAGTACCTCTCTTAATTAAAGATACAATGTGGATGGCCATTATTGTCTTGTGCCTCCCAGAATGTCCTACATGTGTCTATCAGATACGAAAATTAGATTTTGGTCTGGATTAAAATGTGCAAACTGATTCCCTATGTGCCGATTTGACTTTTGGACGAGGTTTTGGATGCCCTTGCCAACCTCAAATAAACCTATTCTGTTCTATTCTAATCATCATAATTAATCATTAACAGTCATAAAGGTTCATATACTGGCCCATCTGCCATCTAACTCTGAACAGTAGGAGTAACCGATATTAAATTCTGCATTTTCTGGTACAACAAAGGAACTTAAAGAATACTTTTATTGGTGCCAACTGTTACATTTAAGGGGGTGAGGGGGGAAATGTTGATGTCAGTTAATTAATGTTTTCTTTTATTCGCCTTACATCATCCTTCCTGGAACATTGTATTGGCTACAATTGTTTTTAGATCATTTCAGCTCATCTGGATATTTTGCTTTTTCAAAAGCTTTTTTCTCCTGCTTTGTTGGTCTTTAACATCAACATTGTAGCAAGATTCTTTTCAAACCAAACTTCCATGTTTAATAGTGATTTTGTCTATCTTCCTTTAGTTGGCTGGGGCACTCCCAAAGTTAACAGACTTCCAAAACTTGAGCCTCTTGGTGAAACCCAACATAATGGTAATTTTTTTTCAACATTTAGTGTTGCTCAGCATGCTTATTTTGAACCCCATTTAATTTGTTCAGCAGCAGTCTTTAGCAAAGAATATACATAATGCAAAGATCTGAAATGATCACTGTAATTTGTTTTTATTTTCTTATTGTTTTAGAGATTTTGATGTTTTATGTAAGAATATACCTATTTTTCATAATTTGGATGACAAATTCTGGTGTATCTATTTGGAGCTGCTGTTGCTTTCTACTTCTTAGTGGGTATGACTAGTCTATATAACTAACAAAGTATGGTGTATTAATGCTAACAACAGTTACAAAAGGACAAAACAAATTTTGATGATAACAAACTTATATATGTTGATATTATTAAGATAGAATGAGAATAATGATATTGGTAAATTCCTGAACACTAGAGCACTCTGAACCTCTTGAGTCTAGACCTTGAAATTGCTTTGTCTGTGCCAAAACCTCCAACTCCATTTTCAAATTGCATTTTATGAACAAGGAACAACAATAGGCACTCTGCCCTTCGGGCTTGCTCTGTCATTCAGTAAGGTAGTGGCTGATCTGATTTTAACCCCAACTCTATATTCCTGATTGGCCTGGATAATTTTTTATTCCTGTAGTAATGTAGAATCTTATCTACCTTTGCATTAAAAATATTTAAAAATTCTGCATCCACTACCCTTTTGAAGACGACAGTGAACGCTCGGAGAAAAAATGTTTCTTCATCTCTGTCTTGAATGAACAACTATAACCCAACTCTGGGTTGAGTTCCACTAAGAGTTGCCCAACTATGGGGTGGCACGGTGGCTCAGTGGTTAGCAGTGTTGACGCATAGTACCAGGGACCCGGGTTGGATTGCAGCCTTGGGTGACTGTCACATTGTTCCCATGTCTGTGTGGGTTTCCTCAGGTTACTCCGGTTTCCTCCTACAGTCCAAAGATCTGCAAGTTAGATGGATTGGCCATGGTAAATTGCCCCACAGTTATCCAGGGTTGTGCAAGCTAGGTGTGTTTTGTTTAATTCATTCACAGGATGAGGGTGTTGCTGGCTAGGGCAGCATTTATTGCCCATCTCCAATTGCCCAGAAGGCAGTTAAGAATCAACCACATTGCTGTAGGTCCAGAGTCACATGTTGGCCAGACCAGGTAAGCATGGCAGTTTCCTTCCCAAAAGGACATGAGTAAACCAGATGGGTTTTTCCAACAATCAACAATGGATTCATCGTTAGACTGTTAATTCCAGATACTTATTGAATTCAAATTCCACTATCTGCCAAGGCGGGATTCGAACCTGGGTCCCCAGAACATTATCTGGGTCTTTGGATTAACAGTCCAGCATTAATACTGCTAGGCCATCGCCTGTCCATAGCTTAGCTTATGGTGAATGCAGGGTCATGAGGATACAACCAGGGATGTGGGGGGTGGTGGCTAGTGGTGGGATGCTTTTCAGAGGCCATTCGGCCCTTCAAATCTGCACTATAGGGATTCTATGGTTCCGTGGACCCTCGTTCTAGATTCTTGCACAAGAGGACATCCACCCAGTCAAGTCCCATCAGAATCTTACATGGTTCAATTAAGTCACCTCCTACTGTCTAGATGATACAAGACTAGCCTGTCTAACCTTCCCTTGTGTGCAATACATACCTTCCCCTCCAAAAAACCTTCTTTGAATTGCTTTCAATGCATTAACATCTTCCTGTATGTGTGATGACCAGCTCTGTACTCAGTATTCTAGAATGTGATGTCACAAATGCCCTGTATAACTGAAGTATATCCTCCCTCCTCTTGCATTCACTTCTTCTTGCAATAAAATGTAACATCCTATTAGTTTCTGGAACTGCAAACTAACTTTGTGTAATTCATGCACGAGGACACCCACATCTCTGTATCTCCGAGTTCTGAAACCTCTCACCATTTAGATAATATGCATTTTTTAAATTCTTTTGGCCAAAATTGATAATTTCATCCTTTTCCACATTGTACTCCATTTTTCAGACCTATATCCTTTTGTAGGCTCCTTATGTCCTGTTGACAACTCACTTTCTTACTTATCTTTGTGTAATTGGCAAATTCAGCAATCATACTTTTGGTCCCTTCATCCAAATCATTTAGATAAATTGTAAAGAGTCGTGGCTGTAATACTGACCCTTGTGACACGCCATTTGTGACACCCTGCTAGTCTAATAACAATGCACTTACTCTTATTCTCTGCTTTCTTTTATCCATGTCTTTCTGTTACCCCCTACACCATGAGCTTTAATTTTCTGCAAAAACCTTTGATCTGGCACTTTATCAAATTCCTTCTGGAAATCTAAGTACTCCACATTCACTGATTCTTCTTTATAGCACAACTAACTTCTTCAAAGGACTCCAATAAATTAGTTAAACGTGCTTTTCCTTTGAGAAAGTCATGTTGGCTGTGCCTAGTTACTTTGAACTTATTCAAGTGTGCTGTTATAATGTCTTTAATATTTACCATGCAGGTCAGCAAAATGGCCATTGTGGCACATCAAAATCAAACTCAGAAGTAAGAGATGATGAGCTGGCTGCATTATAGAGAGACATGTCGAAATTACCTACATGTTTCCATAGAAACATAGAATACAGGAGCAGGAATAGGTAATTTGGCCCATTGAGCCTGCTCCTCCCTGTTCCTGCTTGCTGCCCATACCCTTTGTCTATTCAGCCCTAAGAAATAGATCTGCCTCCTTGTTGAAAACATTTAGTCTTTTGGCCTCATTACTTTCTGTGGGACAGTATTAATATGCATTGGAGAGGCATGGATAATACAAGAACAGTCAACATGATTTTGTTCTGGGGAGATCATGTCTCAGCAACTTGAATGAATTTTTCAAAGAGGTGACCAGGTCTGTAGATGAGAGCAATGCTTTTGATGGCGACTACTTGGACTTCAGTAAGGCTTTAAAGTCCCACATGAGACAGATAGCAAAGGTAACAGTCTGTGGTATCCAAGGGTAGACCTCCCAGAGGTAACCCTCTTTTGCACCCTCTCCAAAGCCTCCAACCTCTTTTGCACCCTCTCCAAAGCCTCCCACCTCTTTTGCACCCTCTCCAAAGTTTCCACATTCTTCCTATATTGTGGCCACCAGACCGCACAATATACTCCAAATGTGGTCTAACTAAAGTTTTATACAGCTGCAACGTGACTTGCTAACTTTTATACTAAATGCCTCGATCGATGAAGGCAAAAATGCCACATGCCTTCTTTATCACCTTATCCACTTGTGTTGCCACTTTCAGGGAGCTATGGGCTTTACCCCAAATCCCTCTATATATGAATGCTCCTCTTGTATTTGATCTCCCAAAATGCATCACCTCACACTTGTCCGGATTAAACTCCTCTGCCACTTCTTTGTCCAAATTTCTAATTGATCTATATCCTGCTGTATCCTTTGACAATGTTCCTCACAATCCACAATTCCACCAATTTTCACGTTGTCTGCAAACTTACTAATCAGACCACCTGCAATGCAAAAAAACTATAATGGCCAAGCAATGATCTCTTCAAGACTAGATGATGTGTTAAATCATTGGGGAAAGGCAGTAGATGTGGAGTGGGAGTCTACCGATTCATTCCTACGCATATTGAAGTGTTCCCCTTCCTGACCACCTACGTAATTCAGTTGTGCCTTTCCACAGTCCCAGCTGGGATCATGATAAGCAACAACAATGTGCAGTTTAGACCACTGGATCTCCTGATCAGTAATGAATAGCTCTTTATTATGGCCAGCTGCCAGGCAGAAAATTTGACTTAACAACAACTAGAGGGCATAGGCTTCAGGTGAGAGGAGAAAGATTTAAAAAGGACCTGAGGGGTAGCTTTTTCACGCAGAGGGTGATGCGTGTAGGGAACGATCTGCCATAGGAAGTGGTGGTAACGGCTTCAATTACAACACTTAAAAGGCATCTGGATGGGTATATGAATACAAAGGGTTTAGAGGAATATGGGCCAAATGCTGGCAAATGGGACGAGGTCAGATTGGGATGTCTGGTCGGCATGCACGAGTTGGACCAAAGAGTCTGTTTCTGTGCTGTATGACTCAATGGCCTATATTATATAGACAAAAGAAGTTCCTGCACAGATCCTTGAGGAATACAATTAGTCATATTCATAAACACCCCTCCACAACTATCCTCTGTCTTATATGATCGAGCCAATTCTGGTAAACCTTCATCGCACTCTCTCCATAGCACCCTTCTTCAGATAAGGAGACCAAAACTGCACACAATAATCCAGGTGTGGTCTTACTGACACCCAGTATCTTTGCAGCAAGACAGCCCTACTCCTCTTGAATCCTCTTGCTATGAATGCCAACATACCATTTGCCTTCTTCAGTGCCTACTGTGCCTACATACTTACTTTTAGTGACTGGTGTTATTGCACTTCCCACTTTCCCAATCTATCATCATTCAGATAACAACCTGCTACAAAAATGGACAAGCTCACACTCATCCACATTTTACTGCATCTGCCATGCATTTGCCTACTTGGCCAAATCGCACCGAAGCTTTTCTGCATCTCCTCAAAGCAAACCTTTTCACACAGATTTGTGTCATCTGCACACATTAAGTTCTGATATGTTGTTTCCTCCTCTTAAATCCATATATATATATGGTGAATAGTTGGGGTACAACCTTGGAGTACACCACTTAGCCACTGGTCATGCCAGTCACTGGGCGAAAGACCTGTCTATTCATTCTCTTTGTTTTGTGTCTGCCAACTAGTTTTCAACCCATTTTCTAAGCAATATTGACACTTCATAATTCCAGTGCACATCAAAATGAAGATATTGATATAAAGATACAGAAAACATCCCAGTAATATCTTTAAATCAGGATGTCAAAAGAGAAACCGTGGGTGAAATTATAATCATGAACGAAGCAGAACTGAGCAAGTTGTAGATTGATAAATCCCCAGTTCCGTACGGACTTAAAGGTAGCCAGTGAGGTAGGAGATGCATTGCGGTTAATTTTCCAAAATTCGTTAGATTCAGGAAAGGTTTCATCAGACTGGAAAGTAACAAGTATAATACCTCTATTCAAGAAGACAGGAAAGTGAAAAACAAAATACTATAGGCTAGTTAGCTTGATATATGTCATGGGAATGGTATTATTCAATCATTTAAGTTTTTTTTGCTGGGCACTTGGAAAAATTTAAGGTAATTGGGAAGTGTCAGCTTGATTTTGTGAAAGAATAATTAAGTTTAGTCTTACTGAATTTGAATTTCTGAAACACATTTTACAAGGTCCATACAAATGTTTATCAAGCAGCGTAAGAGCTCATAGTGTGTGTGGTAGCATAGTAACGTGGATAGAGTATTAGCTGATTTGCAGAAAACGGAGTATGCATAAATGGGTCTTTTCTAGATTGGCAAGATGTAACAAACAGAATCCTGCCACAATCTGTGCTGGGCCCTCAACATTTTATAATTTGAATAAATGATTTAAATGAGAGGATCGAATGACATAAAGTTGGGTAGGAAAGTATGTTGAGAAGATGACATAACAGGGTGCAGACCAAAACAGATAGGTTAAGTGAGTGGACAAAATATCTGACACATGGAGTATCATCAGAGAAAATATGAACTTGCTCACTTTGGTGGGAAGAATAAAGAGGCAGAGTATGATTTAAACAGAACAACTGAGGAATTCCAAGGTGCAGAATGATCTAGGTATTTTAGTACTCAAGTCACAAAAACTTAGCGTGCAGGTACAAGTGATTAAGAAGACCAGTAGGATGCTGTCCTTTATTATGAGCAGAAGGTAACTGAAGCAAAGCCTCCTTTTATACAGAGCATTAGTAAGACCACATCTCAAGTATTGTGTACACTTTTAGTTTCCTTATTTAAGAAAGAGTAATTACCTTTGAGGTGATTAGAAGGCGGTTTATTAGATTGATACTTGGAATAAGCTGATTGTTTTATGAGGAAAGATTAAGTTGGGCATGTTTTCACTGGAGTTTACAAGGGTGAGGGGTGATTTGTTTGAAGATTATAACATGAATGGTCTTAAGGTGACATGAAAAGAATGTTTGCTTTTAAGTTTAAGTCCAGATTAAGAGTACAGTTTTAAAATTAGACATCACCCTTTTAGGACAAAGATGAGGGGAATATTTCTCTGAGGTTTGTGTGACTTTGGAACTATCTGTCTCAGAAAGCAGTGGGGGCAGGGTTATTAAACGCTTTTAAGGCAAGGGTACTAGATTCTTGTTTGACAGGGAATCAGTTTATCAGAGGAGATAGAAATGTGTAATGCAGAACACAAACAGCTCAGCCATGATCTTATTGAATGACCAAGCAGGCTCACCGTGTTGAATGTCCTACTTTTACTCCTACTACATATGTCCATAGACTAGTTGGACAAATCCAACCCGGCCAAATATTGCCTATGTTTTGTGTGCAGGATATACCTGGGCAATTTTTCACAATGTCGTCAGATGCCAGTGCTGTAGCTGGACTTGCACAGTTACCTCTGGTGCACAGCCTTTCAGTAGACTTGCTGAAATGTTGTCAGGCCCCATTGCCTTTGTGATGTCCAGTGGGTTCAGCCTCTTCTTGATATCAAGTGGAGTGAACTGAACTGGTTGAAGACTGACATTTATGATGCTGGCGACCTCAGGAGGAAGCTGAAGAGCCAAAGGATCATCCGTTTAGCACTTTTAGCTGAAGATGGATGCAAATATAGTAATGTGGGCATACAATCTCAATTTAGTCTCCCCAAACTAGAGGAGACAACTGTTCTTTGGTGCATGCCAATGTTCTTGGTAAGAGCATGTTATAATCTCTGGAAGCATTTTCTAGCCGTAAGGATTCTGATACCTGATTGCTACCTAGTGGCCATTGCTGGAATACGCACACGTTATATTGTAACAGATTTAGATCCCACTCTGATGTTCTCGCAACGTGTTACTATGCCTGGTCAAAGCTCTGTGTGAATATTTGTCTTTATGGACCAAGCACAGAAAGCAATTGTCCTCTCTTGAAACATACTGTAGCAAGTGATTTAATGTTTTCAGGAGAATACTTGAGTGTAAAATGCAGGATTTTTGCTAAAAATTACCATTGTCATGTCATTAAAATAAAACAGAGAATTTGGATGTTGGAGATCTGAAACAAATAAAGATAGAAATTGCAGGACAAACTCAACAGGACTGACGGCATCTGTGGAGAGAAAACAGATGTAATGTTTCAAGTGCAGTGACCTTGCTTCAGAACTAGTTCAGAACTCAACGTTAACTCTGTTTTCTCACCATAGATATTGCCAGTATATGCGAGGGGAGAGAGTTAGAAGGAAAAATAAGATCTCAATGCATTACTAAACCACTGAGCATTGTTTCCTGTATTAATAGGTCATCTTTACAATTTTGATCACTATTCCAGTTGTCTTTATAATTATCCTTTATTGTGGATCACTGCTATGATGAAAATAAAGCATTTTTTCTCTGGTGTTCCTGTTTTTACTGAGTCACAAAATTCATTGGGATGCAGCAGCTCTCAAATATGTTACCCTCACACACACATTTACACAATTCCTGAATCCTGATTGATTTCCCACTCATCCTACAAGGCAATTGGGACAATTAGCTCTGATGAGCTAATTAACCACTGACCTTTATAGTGTTTTGAACATAAATTATGAATGATACTGGATTTAAATAATTAAACCTTCTCACAAAGATTTGATGAGAAGATGTATGAACTTTCCTTATAGAATAATCACTATATTTCCCGTAGAAAGCAATTTATTTTTTAAAATCGTGTGGCAAAAATTAACATGATATATACAGTATAAATAAATACAAGAACTGCCCAAGTATTGTCCAGATTAATATATCATGGTTATTGTTTAAGCCCAAGTATGTGAAGATTGTTTCCTAACGTGAGTTAACTTCTGTATGCAGGTTTCAAGGTGTGTTAATTACTATAAAAAAACCTCTAAGGTTGTGTTGAGAACTAAAGTTTTACAATTGATTTACACTTATGTGGGTTTGGTGTTATTAAGGAAATGCTGTTATTCTTGTATTAATCGATTGCATTTTCTTTTTAACTTACTTGGCAGATTTTTACAGTAAGCCGCTCCCACCAGTGCAAGTAAGCCAGAAACCAAATGCTGACACCCATGAAGTTATCTCCTAGCAGTATGGATCTCTTGTTACTCTCTGAACAAAACTATGTAGAATTTTTTTTTTTCTGTTTTATTTTAAAAATCAAACATGATTCATTCTTTCTCATCAGAAAAGATTTAAAGAACTTAGCAAGGAGGGAAAGAATATATCATCACTTTTCAGAACAAAACAAAACTTTCCATTCTGCAGTCAAGGACTTAGCATTGCTACCGCATCAACATGTTCAGCAAAAGAATGGCTGCAATGGACAGGCTTAAGTTTTGAGTAAAGTGTTGAATGGCTATTTTTGGCAAACATAGGAGAAGAAAGAGGCAATGAGACAATACACCACAGAAGTATTTTTTTCTGCTGTGTTTAAGCCAGTGGAATTTTGTCTCAATTGAAAAGTTCATGAAGAGACAGAACCTGACAGAGAAAAAAAATCCTTTTCAATGTAACATTTGAAATTTGTACAGTACAGAACATTCAATGTCTTTTGTGCTTAATGTTTTGTTTTGAGCAATCTTTCTAGAAGATGCAACATAGTGATGCAAGTAATTATGTTTCAAACTGCAGATATTTTAGGTTTTGTTTCAAAGTTCAAGCAAAGAGTCCTATTCATGTGGTCTTGAAACTCAGTTGGATTAGATGTCTGCAAATACTGCAGCAAAATTTTGTTATATTTCTATGTGGAACAAAATATGTCTTTTTTTTTAAAAATGTCATGCGTGAAATTGGCAAGCATAATTCCTTCAATTCTGTCATATACTGTTGAGTTGCCTCTGGATGGGCTCTTATTACTGCTTGTAATAATATCTCAGATTTTATATTGCAGAACTGCAAGTCTTTTGAAGACTCTCAAATTTTGCAATCAGAGCGAACAAATCACGATTATATAGATTACAGTCATATGAGACATTATTTTGGAAATTGCTTGTATTTTCAATCCAGAGATGTAAGTAGATCTGTTTTTCTAGAGGTCAGATACATAATGTAGTATGCTTCAATAGTCATAAAAGTTGAGTGTAAAATTTAGAGTTTTTATCTTAATTAAAACAACCTGCATTGTTTCTATGATGTTTACTCCTTTTCTTAATTTGTTTATAAAAGTTACGATTTTGTATTTTTCGAATTAGTTTGTGAGTTTTTCAAACACTTTGTACATCTTTCAGAAAGAATCTTGCATTTTTTTATAAAAGTATTACTTGTGGTGAAAAGGGTAGAGTGAATCACTTGGTAAAACCATAAGAAATAAGAACAGGAGATGGCTAAATGGCCCCTTGAGCCTATTTCGCCATTTGCGAAGGTCATGCTCAAACTTCAACCCCAACAGTCCTTTCACATATCTCTTGAGTGCAAAATATCCCCGTCTCAGCATTGAATATGCTCAACATCTAAGCATCTACAGCCTTCTAATAGACAAAATTACAAAAATTCCTAACCCCTTATCCTGAAACTTTAACCCCTAATACTAGACTTTTCAGCCAGATAAATGACATAGCAGATGTGAGGGTGCCAAGTTCTTTCAGAATGTTTTATGTTTCAAAGAGATCACTTCTCATTATTCTGAGGTCCAGAGAATGTAGAATCACTGTACTCACTCTCTCCTCCTACGACAACACTCTTATTCCCAGAAATCAATCTGATGAAACTCCATTGATTCACTTCTAGAGCAATCATATTTTACCCTTAGATAAGGATATCAAATCCAGTTATGGTCTTTCCAAATCCTGTACAATTGCAATAAGACATCTTACTTGTATATTATAATTTGCTTGCAATAAAGGTCAATGTCATTTTTCCTCCTTATTGCTTGCTACACCTATTATTTTTGTGTTCTATGTAGAAGAACACATAAATCTGTCTGAACACCTACATTTATTATATCATTAATGTTTTTAAAATTACCTGTTTTTATTCCCCCTACTAACGATTTCACATTTCTTCACACTGTGCTCCTTCTCTTACCTGCTTGTAGCTACACTGTACCACATTGGCCTGAAGTGAATAAAATCTGATAATGAATTTAATTAGAATGACTTCCTGTATTGACTTGGACATGTCACTTAATATAAAATGATTGTCTCATTAATCAGATCAACCAAAACCAATTTTGTACCAGACTTTAGTGGAATACAATATCTACAAACACACAACAGTAAATTAGTTTTATGTACCTCATAATTTCTCAAATTTACCCAGTTTTATTAGTATTTTTCTACAATTAAAATATTGTGTACCAACTACTTTTCCTCCTCCAAGTCTCCAATTTTCCTCTTTCCTTGCCTGATTATGCTTCATGTCATAGTATGAATCTCTGTAATGACCTAATGCCTCAACATATAAAAACTTTACATATATTAACTTGAACACCTTGTGTCCCTGATGTCTCTAACAAGTGGACAACTTTGATTAAGCTTAATCTGTTCTCATCTAATGTCCACACATGAATTTGAACTAAGAGCGTTGATAGCTATCAGCATTTGGAGCACCAGATGATTATCTCCGTGCTTGCTTTCCCTTTCTTTTCCACTGTCCACTTACCTAAACAATTCACTAGTTTTGGGAAACTGAGACTTTTGTCAATAACAAGCAGAGGCCCATCTGAAATAAAGATAGAAAATGCTGGAAATATTGAGCAGGTCTGACAACATCTGCAGCGAGAGGAAGAGAATTCATGTTTTTGTTGAATGATCTTGCGTGAAAACTTTATAAAATTGGCTAACAACACAGACAACTGGTTGGACCTGTTACGTTATTAATCAAGATACTACTAAATTATGGTGTATTCATTTTTAGAAATATTAAAATTCTCAGATTTGTAACATTTGATATTTGCATTTAAGTATTTATATTTCTGCTAACTTTCCTACTTTTTTTCTTTTTAAATTCAAACACAAAGTATATAATTTTTACCACAGTTAGCTGTTATTATTGTTGCTATTTATTTGTTTCAGGACAAAGTATTAGAGAATCGGCTCTGCAGTTAATCCAGCTCATTGATTTGCATTAAAATTTCATGTATAAACATTATTTTTTGGATTCAAGCATCACTAACACGTATTAAAAAATAAATATTTTGACTTACATTGTACTTCATTTTCAATTCAATATTTAATTAAACATATCTCTTGTTGGAAAGTAGTTGTGTATTATTTTGAACATTTATGTAGTAATATACCTTTGTAATCTTGTATTTTATTTTTAAATGTACTAATTACTTATAGGTATTAGTTTGTCCAAAGACAACACAGGTTGTATCTTCCTAATCCAGCACTCTCTGGTCTGGCCATCTCTGTGATCCAGTTTCCACAGTATAGTTCCAGTTCTGGTTTTAGATTCTATAAACTGGCTATTTAGGTGTCAGGATCATGGCATATACCTGCCCAGTCTGCGCTCAAATCTATTTTATAATGTGATTTTTGTTCTCTGTTTGCAATAATTCAGATATTACTTATTGGATCCTTCGGTGAAATGATTTATTTTGTTGCTCACAGCTAGGCTCTGCAGGAGGTATTAAAAAAAATGCTTCAACCGCACACAGGAACAAATGCCTCTAGTGCCATTGGTGCTTATGCAACATCATCCCTTTCCATGTTTTCTATTAAGGAGCATTTGTTGTTTCAAAATATGAATTACAGCAAGAAAGTTCAGTTGAATTTAATGATGAAATGCAGAAGGATTGTGATAACCATGTTGCATAGTGCTTTTTAAAGTGTATATGTCCTTCTGTGTTTCAACAAAGGCCTGGTCCCAAGACTGCCTGATTACAAAGATCCAACCTGTACTGTACTGTACTGTGTAGTAGAGTTTGAATGTCGCTGGAAAATGTCTTAGTCAGAAGCAAATACCTGATTAAATCAGTTGTACTATGCATAAGAGCTTCATTTAATAACTTAAGGTTTTATGCTCTTCCAAAATAAAAAGTTTGTCTTTTAAAAGATGTTGCAGTTCTTTTTCTATCAAGTTTAGTTTGAATATCTAGGTGTAACATGGGTTCATTGGTAATTATTCCTTTTATTTAGAGTCCGAGTCATACAGCATGGAAACAGACTCTTTGGTCCACCTTGTCCGTGCTGACCAAATATCCCAATCTGACCTAGTCCCATTTGCCAGCATTTGGCCCATATCCCTCTTAAACCCTTACTATTCATGTACCCATCCAGATGCCTTTTAAATGGTGCAACTGTACCCGCCTCCACCACTTCCTCTGGCAGCTTATTTCATACATGCATCACCCTCTGCATTAAAAAGTTATCCCTAAGGTCCTTTTTAAAATCTTTCCACTTTCACCTTAAACCAATGCCCTCTTGGAAAAAGACCTTGGCTGTTCACACTATCCATGCTGGTTGTGAATTTGTAAACCTATATAAACTCACCAATCAGCCGCCGATGCTCCAGGGGAAAAAACGCCCCAGCGTATTCAGCCTGTCCCTGGAACTCAAACCCCCTCCAGTCCCGGCAACATCCTTGTAAATCTTATCTGCATCCTGTCAAGTTTAACAATATCCTTCATATAGGAGGGCAACCAGAATTGTATGCAGTATTCTAAAAGTGGCCTCACTAATATCCTGTACAACTGCAACATGACAGAAGTAGGAGACACGACGTCCCAACTCCTGTACTCAATGTTATGACCAATAAAGGAAAGTGTGCCAAATGCCTCCTTCACCACTCTGTTCACCTGTGACTCCACTTTCAAGGAACTGTACCCCTGCACCACTAGGTCGCTTTGTTCGGCAACACTCCCCAGGGCCCTACCGTTAACTGTATAAGCCCCACTCTGATTTGCCTTTCCAAAATGCAGTACCTTACATTTATCTAAATTAAACTCCATCTGCTCATCATCCTCACCCCATTGGCCCATTTGATGAAGGTCACATACAAATCATTTATATAAATGATGAAAAGCAGTAGATCCAGCACAAATCCTTGTAATACACTGCTGGTCACAGGCCTTCAGTCTGAAAAGCAACCCTATACCATCACCCTCTGTCTCCTACTTTCAAGCCAATTTTGTCTCCAATTGGCTAACTCCCCATGGATCCCATGTGATCAAATCTTACTAACTAGTCTACCAAGCAGAACCTTATCGACCACTTCTTTGTCACCTCTTAAAAAACTCGATCAAGTTAAGAATCATAGAATCCCTACAATGTGGAAACAGGCCATTCGGCCCATCAAGCCATACCAACTCTCTGAAGAGCATCCCACCTAGACCCCCCCCATCCCCGGGTATCCCGTTAACCCCACATTTACCATGGCTAATCCACGTAACCTGCACATTCCTGGACACTATAAGCAATTTAGCATAGCCAATCTACCTTACCTGCACATTTTTGGCCTGAGAGAGGAAACTGGAGCACCCAGAGGAAACCCACATAGACACAGGGAGAAATGTGCAAACTCCACACAGACAAGTTGCCCCAGGTTGGAATTGAACCCGGGCTCCTGTGAGGCAGCTGATGACTGAGCCACCATGCTGTTAGTGAGACATGATTTACTCCACACAGCCATGCTAACTATACTTAATCAGTCCTTGCCTTTCCAAGTGCATGTAAATCCTGTCCCTCAGAATCTCTTCCAACAACTTACCCACCACTGAAGTCAATTTCACCGGTCTATAGTTCCCTGGCATTTCCTTACAGTCTTTCTTAAATAATGGCACCGCAATAGCGAACCTCCAGTCTACAAAGGGGCCGAGCAATCACTTCCCTAGCTTTCATAAAGTTCTGGGAAACACCTGATCAGGTTGCAGGGATTTATCTACCTTTATATGTTTTAAGACCTCGAGCACCTCCTCTTCCCTAGTTTGAACTCTTTTCAAGGCATCACTGTTTATTTCCCCGTGTATGTTTGTTTCCACATCCTTCTCCACAATACTTAATAAACAAAGATTGAATTTTAAGATTATGTGCATAAATTATTATTCAGTGAATGCAAATTCCCAGGGCCAAGCAACACCTCGTTTGTTGAGTTTAAGGTGATTAATCTGTCACGCCAAGGAATGCAATGGCGTAGTGGTTACATCATTGGCTTTGGAATCCAGAAGCCCAGGCTAATATCTGTCATGACTCACTGAAGTAGCCCCACTATTCATGGCATCGTCACAAATATGACAAGTTTATTTTATTTATTAATTTTTGTGGAATGTGGGCATCACTAGCTGGCCAGCATTTCTTGTCCATCCCTAATTACCCTTGAGGAGGTGGTGGTAAGCTACCCTCTTGAATTGCTGCAGTCCACCTGCTGTAGGTTGACCTATAGTACCATTAGGGAGGGAATTCCAACATACTGACTCAAAAACAGAGAATGAAGAGTGATATATTTCCAAGTCAGAATGGTGAGTGGCTTGGAGGGGAAATTGAAGGTGTTGTTACTATACATTTGCCGCCCTTGTCCTTCTAACTAGAAGTGGTCGTGGGTTTGGAAGGTGCTGTCTGAGGATCTTTGGTGAATTTCTGTTGTTCTTCCAAATCTTTAATCAAATTATCAATGTCCTCAATTTCCCTGACTGCCAATTCCAGAAGAACCTAAAAGAAAAAAAACAGAATTCTGTACTTAGCAAGAAAACGGTTATTTATTGCAAACATTGGTTTTAAACCAGTGGTGAAATAGATATACTAATTGTCAATATACCTCGCTATAACTAAAAGCTGGTCCCTTTTTAAAAAATTGTCATTCACATACAGATACGCACATATCAAAATTACAGGTGGGGAAAAAGAAAATGTCAGTGAAACTCAGTATTGTCTGGATTACAGGTGTCAATATGTATTCCTTCAGATCCCTCTGGTACCTTTTGCTCTTGGATGAGTATATGAGGTTGTGGAGACACTGATTCTCAATCTTTTGTATGTTGAGGATTCAATCTTTCAGTGTCTCTGAAGGTGGTTTTTCCACTTTGCTTTCAAAAAGGGAATTTGCAGGGCAGGAGAGTAGCTGGCTGCTTGGATATTTTTCTATACTCAGAAGTAGGAGACAGATTTTCTTGTTCACTGGCTGGATGTTTTTCTTCTATTGTCCAAATGCAAATCTGTAGCTACTTGCCCAAGAACCACAAGATGTTCATAATATGTTGAGCTCTGCTGAACACACGGCGAAATTCTTCCGGCTGTAGAAAAACCAAAGGTCCAACATTGCGCAAAACTGCCCATGGAAACACACCCATGGGACCAAAATATCTAGGAGCCTCACCCAGTTCTTTCCCCCACCCAACCCCTCCTCAAATACACACACTTTGTTGCAAACTGGCACATTTCAAGATCAAGGACTACATGCTGGGAGATGCAGCAAAGCTTGGGGCAGCTGTTGTCGAAGAACAATGGAGAAAGACTGCCAAAATACAACCAGGGTCTCTTCAGTTATCAAGACCCTCTCGTTGCCTCAGAGTGTATGTAAATAGAGTCCTGCATGAATAGGAAATGCCTTAGTTTGCAATTGCAGGATGCTCTGAGGAATGTCAAATTCCAAGGTTTGTTTCTTTTATCTGCAAAGACCTTACAAAACTACTCTAGTACATTGTGTATGTACATAAAGAATTTTTTTATGAATAAATTATATTTTTGCAAAAATTAGGGAACATTGTACATACAATAGTTCTTTTTTTAACTTCCACATCTTCCACAGTACCCTGGTTAAAGATATTTTTCCCATTTTCACATGTGCAGTCCTGGGTTTGAATCCTGTCATATATCTAGTCCCATTTGCCAGCTATTAGTCCATAGCCCTCTAAACCTTTCCCATTCCTATACCCTTCCAGATGCCTTTTAATTGTTGTAATTATACCAGCCTCCACCACTTCCTCTGGCAGCTCATTCCATACATGCACCACCCTCTGTGTGACAAAGTTGACCCTAGGTCCCTTTTAAATCTTTCCCCTCTCACCTATGGCCTCTAGTTTTGGACTCCCCCACCCGGGGAAAAGACCTGTCTATTCACCCTATCCATGCCTTATAATTTTATAAACCTTTATAAGGCAGCCCCTCAGCCTCCAATGCTCCAGGGAAAATAGTCCCAGCCTATTCAACCTCTCCTGATAGCTCAAACCCTCCAACCCTGGCATCATCCTCATAAATCTCAACTCCTATACCCAATGCACTGACCAATAAAGTCAAGCATACAAATGCCTTCTTCACTATTCTGTCTGCCTGTGACTCCACTTTCAAGGAAATATGAACCTGCATTCCACGGTCTCTTTGTCCAGCAACACTCCCCAGGACCTTACCATTAAGTGTATAAGTCCCGTCCTGGTTTGCCTTTCCGAAATGTAACACCTCACATTTATCTAAATTAAAATTCATCTGCCATTCCTCGGCCCATTGGCCCATCTGATCAAGGTCCTGTTGTACTCTGAGGTAACCTTCTTCACTGTCCACTACACCTTCAATTTTGCTGTCATCTGCAAACTTACTAACCATACCTCCTAAGTTCACATCAAAATCATTTATATAAATGATGAAAAGCAGTGGACTGTGCACCAATCCTTGTGGCACACCACTGGTCACATGCCTCCAGTCTGAAAAACAACACTTTACCACCACCCTATGACTTCTGCCTTTGAGCCAGTTGTATATCTAAATGGCTAGTTCTCCCTGTGTTCTTCAGGAAGGAAAAGATATTTCATTGGAATGGGCTCCACTTAAGCTGAGCTGGAGCAATTGTCTTGGCCAATTATGCAAGTAGGGCTGTGGATAGGGATATAATTACCAGAAAGGAAGAAGGGTTTGAGTAAAGGGGATTTAGAAATCCAAAGGTACAATTCACATTAACAGAACTGTGCAGCGATGTCGGTTAAGCCATGAAGGGTGGGATAAAGAGTTTGACACTAATTATGGATCAGCAAGTACTTCCATGCAGGGAAAATTAGCACAAAGGCTACTTGTTTACATCTATGATGCATGCACGGTAATATGATGAACTGGCAACACAAAAAGATGTGAATGGTTTAGATTTGATCACCGCTGCAAAGAGAAGGAGCAGACTATTTTCCCTCCTTGGTATGACATGAGCAATGGTGAAAAAGAAAAGTGTAGTGAGAATAAATAGTCTGATTCTCGCCATCGAGTAAAGTTTTTCTGAATTTCCCTTTGAACCATACATGGCGATCTCAGAATTTCACCACTGAAGCAGCAACTACCTTATCTATATCTCAGTAGATCTCCAAGTTGCCTTATTTATATGTCACTCTCAATTCTCCTTCATCAAAAATCTAGAAGTCTCAAACTCCAAAGCAAGTACCGGGTAGCTGCAGCTCACCTAATGCTTGTCCCAGCTATCAGTGTCCTCACTATAACATCGCAGTATGTTCCATAGATACAGTCCTCACTATAATGTCCCTGTATGTTCCATGATTGCTGTACTCGTCAACTGTTTTTCCACACTACCAATACCACAAGCAAACTACCAGCATCACCACATCGTCATGCTGCTCTTGGACCAAGTTGTGTCACCACTTCAGCCCTTCTACAATTTGGAGCTCAGGGACATGTATGACTTTCACGCTTCTGACAAACTTCTTTTCTCATAGGGACACACACATGCATCTCAGGCTTTCAAAAGCCAAACTAGACTCCAGAAAAAATGCCCAGTTGGCCCAGGTCACCACACCACAGGCAGCACAGAAAGCCATCCAAAGATATCAATGAAATGAATAACAAACAAACCAAAATGTAGAAGCATTTATGACCATCAACACATCCTTAAAGTCAAATTTAGCAGAAGAGCGAGGGCAAACATGTTACCACAATGCATCCTAAAGGATGTGTACTCCAACAACTGGCACTTCATGGTACAACCAACTAAAGACCATCTCACAGCAGACAATGGATCATCAATTCTCTGGTGATTCTGTAATCACATGACAGCACCAATATGCTAGTTCAGTTTGTATTCTCAAAGTCTTCCACCTGGTTGATACCCATGGTGAAACATGGCAGGGCTACCAGCATGTACAGATCTCAGCATCTGAACCATTTATGAGATTCAAATCATACCCACAGTGGTGAGAAAGAAAGAGCCACAGGACTTCCCTCTTCAAAGACAGAAGAGAATGAAGCAGACACATCATCAGCAAACAGGGAGAGAATAACCACAACTGAATAGCTGGTGGAGGTATTCGCTGACATCTTCAACCTCTCCTTGCTACAATCTGACGTCCCCACCTGCGTCAAGAAGACCACCATCATCCCAGTACCAAAGAAAACACATGCATTGTGCCTAGATGACTACTCTCCGGTGGCTCTGACCTCCACAATCATGAAGTGCCTCGACAGGCTGGTCATGGCCCACATCAACTCTGGCCTCCCAGCCTGCCTCGAACCCCTGCAATTTGTCTACCAGTGCAACAGGTCCACGGCAGATTCCATTTGTCTGGCCTTACACTCATCCTTGGAACATCTGGATAACAAGGACACCTACATCAGGTTCCTATTCATCGTAATCCTTCTGCTACTGGATCCTCAGCTTCCTGAATCACAGACCGCAATCAGTGAGGAGAGACAACAGCAACTCCTCCACAATAACCTTCAACACTGGAGTCCACAAGGATGCATTCTCAGCCGCCTATTGTGCTCCCTATACACCCACGATTGTGTTGCCAAATTCCTTACGAACACCACCTACAAATTTGCTGTCGACATCACCATGGCAGGACGGATATTAAACAATGATGAGTCAGAATATAGGAAGGAGATAGAGTGTTTGTTGTCGTCGTGCAATGATAACAACATCTGTCTCAATGTCAGCAAAACAAAAGAACAGATCATTGACTTCAGGAAGAAAGGGGGGGGGACACGTCCCTATCTACATCAATGGAACTGAAATGGAGAGAGTCGAGAGTCTCAAGTTCCTAGGAGTGATGATAACCAACAACCTGTCCTCGAACTCCCACATAGATGCAACGGTCAAGAAGGCCCAAAAATGCCTCTTCTTCCTTTGGGGGCTTAGCAAATTCAGCATATCCATAAAGACCTTCACCAACTTTTACAGATAAACCATAGAAAGCATTTTATTCAATTGCATTAACAGCCTAGTATGACAACTGCTCTGCCCAGGACTACAAGAAACTACAGAAAGTAATCTGCACAGCCTAGACCATCATGGAAGCCAACCTCCCATCCATGGACTCCATTTACATGGCTCCTTGCCACAGAAAGGCTGCCAGCATCATCAAATACCCCTCCCACCCCGTAATATTTTCTTCCAACCCCTTCCATCAGGCAGAAGGCACAGAAACTTGAACACATACTCCAACAGGTTCAAGAACAACTTCTTCTCTGCCATTATTAGACTGCTGAATGGACCTCTCTAACTTCAAGTAATGCTGATCTTGCTAATGTTATCTTGCTTTGCACACCTCCTGTGCAGCTATAAGCTTACATGCCTCGCTCTAGGAATCCTATGATCTGTATATCCTTGTTTGCTATGATCTGCCTGTACTGCTCGCAAAACAAGGTTTTTCACTATATTTAGATACATATGACTACAACAAATCAAATCGAATTAAATCAAAACACCAAACAGAGAATAAGGCTCAGAAATCCAGTCACAAATAGCTGGATACTAGCAAAGCCTTCCAAGATACGCAACGAGCCCAGGTCAAATGAAGTCATTAACTGATCATGGAGCTATATTACGAAGGAACAGAAGTCCAGACCATTTTATGATATGGCAGTTATGTATGTGGAGTAAAGAAGAAAACTCTGATGATAATTGTACGATGATGCTGAATGACAGCAACCAGTAGCAAGAAAACCAACTTGACAGCAACACAGAATTACACATGCCTCTCCAAATGGGTATACAATTGTCAAATCAGGACAACACCAAACCATTGTATTGAAATTTGATTATCAATCATGTTAACTTTGTTTTACATGTCTGTATACTTGTTGAATTAATCACGTGCCTATGAAAAATGAAGCACGTCTGTTTGAGATTTCTTTTTCTTTGAACAAAGGGAATGTTATTTTGTACATCGCAGCAAAAGTGTGACATATATTTAAGGGACATGCTCAAGATGTCATCACTATATTGTGACATGTGACCTAATTGTATAAAGTTCACAGTCTCCATCTTACTGAGTTCTATTCTCTTGCAGCTTGTCCCACTGAGGGATGTGTGCTGTAGTACATCTGAATTGTTTAGCTTGAGCCCAGACATGGAAGTGTGTATAACTGTAATTTACATATGCAGATACAAGGTGCTGTAAATTTGTTGCTTTCCTCAATACAATGTGACCCATGGGAGTGATCTCAGTATGATAAACAACATCAGTACACCTGCTCAAAGAATGGTGTGCCACTTTACAATGCTACCCCCTCTTGCAGGAAGCGGCTTGGCAAGATCGGCACCAGCGATCCTTCTTCTTTCCATAATGCAGACATGGAGCAACAGCAGTAACTGCTTCTTCTGCTTTCCTCTGCCTCTGATGTCTTGTAGGCACTTTTGGGACATACCTTTCTGGACATTTAGCTGTCACCCGATAAGAGATTTATAATGGCAATGACAATTTGCTGCAGAACCCTGGGTATCTGTGGCAAATTTTCTCTGGTCATTGGGAACCTCCTTTGAAATTCAAAGGAATCAAAGGCTTCAAGGATATCATTATATTTAGCAGTTTCTTCATGATAGTCTCTTGTCTTCTTAAAATATTGTCAGTGCAGTTGCTGATTGTGCCCCTGTATACAATGACATGATTTTTTTTTGGCTGCTGAGTAAGTCCAGTGAGGAAGGATAGGAGAGGGAGAGGAGGGGGAACAACAGTCAAGAGTGACCGGAGGAGAGGCAGCAGTGAGGAGGAGCTGAGGGAGGAGAGACAGGAAGGAGGAGAGAGAAGGAGGGGCAGCAGTTAGAAGGGGTGGAAGGAGAAGGAGGGATGAGGGACAGCAGTGAGGAGAGAGGAGGGAAGGGAGGGACAGCAAGGAGGATAGAGGAGGGAAAGGGGAGGGACAGCAGTGAGGAGAGAGGGAAAGAGGAGGTACAGTAGTGAGAAGACAGGAGGTGGAAGGAGAATGAGGTGGGAAGAGAAAGGAGGAGGGATGGGGGACAGCAATGAGGAGAGAGGAGGGAAAGGAGAGGTATATCAGTGGGGGGGG